GATCTCGGCATGATGATTAGCCATCCTAAATCCAAAGCCATCTTGATTTGCAAAGGCAAAGGTGCGGAAAGTATCAAGCGACGATTCCTCCGCAAGACGTCACAAGGCCGAGTCCTCAGATTCAACTATGCGCAGGAGGCTATTGATATCCCCCTGGTTGATCAGTTTGTGTATTTGGGAGCCATTGCCAGCTATGGCGCCTTCGAAGATCAGACACTTGAACATAGACTTCAGATCGGGGCTGCCAATTTCTGGCGACTAGGACGGGTCCTTCGAAGCAAGCACTCCCTCTCAAAGCAGCATAGACTCAGTATATGGAGATCTTGCGTCCATACAGCTAGCACGTATGGGATCACCGCGTGTGGTGTCACGGCGAAGGGGGCCCGGAAGCTTACCCTCGAAACGATGAAGCAAGTCCGTCTAGTAATTGGGGACCCTGTGCATATGACACGCACCTCGCATGCAAAGATCCTCGAGGATTGGAACATACAGCATCCAATTGCTGGGCTTCAGGACAGGATGCTCAATGAGAATAATCATGCGGAGGATCCCTGTGTGCAAGGTCCCACTGACCATTGGTGGAAACACGTCATTGAGTCCTTCATTGTTCCCAGTGAGGATGCCTTAGTTCAAATCCCGTCACACACTGCGGGGGTTGCATGTCCCACCTGTGGAGTCATGTATCTCAACAGGACGTCCATGCTGATCCATATGTCCAAAGCTCATAAGCAAGATCCTCTTCGCCCGGTCAACCAGCCTGTCTCCTTCGATAAGAGTAGAGATGCCAAAGATGGTCTCCACATATGCAGACACTGTGACAAAACGATGTGTGACTGGTCCAGCTTGCGAAAGCACATACTTGAGAAGCGCTGTCCTATTCTGTTCGGTAAAGCACAGAAACCAGATAGTTTGGCTGTTGAGTCTCTGGGTGCTGCTCCGTCGGCCCCAACCCAGCAAACACCAACCATCCTGGAACCCTACGCCAAAAGACCGTCCACTATAGCAGCCATCTGCAGGTACGGCGACAACGCTGCATTCCACCTGCCAGATCGCAAGGTGCTCGCTCAGCACTGTGCCCTCTGCAATCAGTGGATAACGGACCCAAGTAAGATGAAACAACACTACAGATTGTCACACGCTGAGGTATATCAAATGTTCATGAGTGATGCCTGCAAACTTTGCTCGAAGTTTAATAGTCTAGGATCTCCCTGTCCTCACTGCGGCTCTAAGTCCGAAGAGTCTAGGCAGCACCCATCTAAGAATCTAAGTGTACAGTCCTGTGGCAACTATGCGTGCTCCACCTGCAGAACCTGAGGCATGAACTCGGAAATGACCGAATGTTTCGGTCCCCCGCTCCTGTCCCACGCAGAGACCATGTCAAAGGAGGTGGAGGCAAATGGACAGGGACTTCGGGACCAAGTCGCAGCGGACAGAGAATGGAAAGGGACGGGGGCACCAGCCTCCACACTCCATGCCTTCTTCAAGAAGAGGACGTCCGAACAGGCAGGGACAGGATATGGATCTGCAGCAGGCAGTGAAGGCGCTTGGACGCCTAGTCATCCAGCAGGAAACCTCCATCAAGGTTCTTCGCCAAGACACGTCATGGGTGATCTTCGTACAACCTGGTCCCCAGAGTTCTCTTCAACTGCTGTTCAAAGTAGGGCAAGCGTGGAAAGACAATCAACAAAAGGGTGCTGTGAATCGGCCCCTTCGTTGCGTCTTGATCACATGCCTCATGGAGCATCTCTTGAAGATCCTGGAGGACCTGAAAGGACCTATGTTGGAAAAGGCGCAAACCCAGGGATGGCTTACGGAAGCAGCATAGCAATATCAGACATGGTCCCCATCCATGGGTGCACTTATGGTCAACAAGGACAAGACCCCAGCGCCCCCTCAGCAAGTGATTCAGGAGCTCAAGGAGATCATTCCGCTGCTGTCCACACCGTATATGATCCACAGGTTCCACGCGAACAGGGCCATCAAGGAATCCTCGGACAGAGTCTCAGCGTTCCAATTGGAGGTCTCGGGCCGTACGGAGGGCTCGCACAAAGTATGGCGCACCTTGGAAACACTCTCCAATTGCTCGGTGCTACAGATCATAGGGATCCAGCTTCGCAGAGACACGCTCCGACACTCACCGGCAGCAGAGCTTGCGCAGAAATTGACCAGCAACTCATGAGGCTCCGTTTGTTGAGTAGCAGTAACACATGCTACATCAATGCCACTGTGTTTGCTTGGTTGCGTGTGTCCCAGCGCCTCGAATGCAATGACAGGCAAGCATATGGCAGCAAGACCCAGGCATGGAGACACGTTTCGCAATCCAGAAGACCCACACATGTTCATACCCTCAACTCCTGGCGTAGCATCTTTGCAGGCTGGCAGGATCTTCATCGCCAACAGGACGCCAGTGAGTTCCTTGAACACTGGGTAGCCGTTGGTCGGCCCCAGGCGGTGACTGGCGCGTGGGAGGCAGAGTGGAAAACCACCAACTCATTGAGATTAGACATCATTCCTCCACTGACGTTGCCCTGAGCCTTGATCTTGAGCAATCCTGTGATCCGCAAAGCCTTCAACATCTCATTCTCATCTGGCATACTCAGTGCCTTGGCACACAAGCCCTGAAGAACCCACCACTGATCCTTATGATCAGACTGTCCAGATTTCAGAGGCTCTTGAACCACACTCACAAAGTGGCCACCCCTGTCATCATTGAGCCCAGAGTGAGCGTACCTTTGTTTGACGATGACACATTGCATTGCACAAATGTCCCCTATGATGTCATATCTGTGATCTTACATGCTGGCCATTCCCCTGATGCTGGACACTACACGAGTACGGATGACGCCAGGCCGGCAAAGCTCAGTACAAGGGAAGTCACGCAGGATCACAACTTGTCACAACAGTCGTATGTTCTCCTCCTTGGCAGTGGTGCTACAGCGCACGTGCAGTGAAGGGGTTGGGGAAGGATTTCACGCTGTGTGCGATGCAAAAAGATCGCTGACCGGATTAATCCTGCAGCAACAAAAAAACTTTCGCAAAAGTGTGGTATCAGGTACTCCAGTGAGCCATTTTGGCCACTAGTCCAGAGTGTGTACAGTCTGAGGGCCAGTGTGCCCTTTCGGGCCACTCTGTAGAGCGCGGTGTACAGTGGTACATACTTTTGCTGAATAGCATCCACCTCTACACCTGACGGTTGCTTGGTAGTCGAGGAGTCCTTTGAGGGCCACTCGTGGCACTGACTCCCACAGTGGATCTTTTGCGCACATGATGCGCCGGCGCAAGGCCGCCGCCACTTAGCTGTTCACAAGCCGACCTGAACTGGCTGTGCTGGAATGCGAATAGTAGTAGTCGTAGTCGTAGTAGTACGCGCGCTATATGTATTTGACGACCCGTTATTCTGACTGTCCCGTAGCTGGAGAAGCAAGAAAATGCTGCAAAATGCAGTACTTCGGAAGGGGTCTAACTTGAAGAAGGTGCGAAGTTTGGAGTCAGGATTTTTCGGATTTTTTCGCAAAATCATGATGGGAAGACACAAAATCACTGTCCCGCGCAGTGTTTCGGGCTCCGCGTGTTTCTTTTTAAACATGCATTTCAGACACAATGGCACATGGCAGCGAAGCAGAAAGTACTGTAAAACACAGCATTTTTGCA